TACCTCCAACCGTCGTCCACAGCCAGGGCAGGCGTCCCACCCAGCGCCCTCTCGCTCGGGGTCAATTCCCGTCATCGCGTTCCACTTCAACGTCCCTTCGCAGGTGGCGTACCCCTGGCGCACCCACCGGCAGTCACCAACTTTTTTCTGGTATGGGATCCTTCAGTTTCGAATCTTTCATCGATCGACGCGACCGCCATGACGACCAAGTTCACCGCCGCCGAGTTGAAGCGGTTCCGCGCCTTCTTGGACGCGGACCTTGACCGCGAAGAGCACGGTCTTTCATCCTCCGACGAGGACGCTCTCAAGCGACAACTCTGGGGCAAGATACGCGCACATCTCGGGGTCAACGGCATGTCTACGGGCCTCCCACATCTCGACCAACTCGTCGAAGACATCTTCCAAGGCAAGTCGAATGTCAGCCTCCAAGGTCCAGTCGTGATCTTGCCCGCCGCGCCCGGCGTTCCAAGTGCCGCACCCCCGGTCGTGACTCAGCCAGCCGCGTCCGGCGTTCCAAGAGCCGCAACCCCGTCCGTGCCCTCCACCAAGGCTTCGGGCAAGAAACCTGCTACGTCTTTCAAGAAGTCCTCCAAACGGAAGGCCAGCGCCGGCGACACTGCCACCAAGTCGTCCGCCAAGAAGCCGCGCTCTTCCCAGAAGTTGACGCTTCCTTCATACGACTACGCCAAGCTGATTGACGTGAATCCCAACGCTCCTCGGGTCGTGCGAACCGGGGGTTGCCATTGTCCTCCACAAGGCTGAAGAAGCCGGCAAGGTCCCTTGGCTCCTGGCGTACCACTGGTCGGGTCGACCTCTGTGGTATGACCAAGCTGAGAATCAGGACATTCATCGAGCCCACTGGCGGTTCTGGATGACCCACAGACGCGTATTCTGGGAGTGGGCGTTCCACGTCCCCTCGAGACAACCACAGCCCAGTCTAATCGCCGCAAGCTCAAAATGCGAGCTTCTCATGCTCGTCTGACCTTTACGAGCCTTTGCATCGAGACGTGGGGCTTCTACGCGTTCCTCGAGAAGCTGGAAAAGCGTCCTGAAATGTTCTGGCTCGGAGGCCAGCCCGGCAAGTCTCCACGCGGAGGTCGACAGCCCTAGGGTCCTATCGCCGAAGATCTCGTAGTCCTCCATGATAAGAATCAGGCCCGGTACGTGGCTACGCTGGAGAAAGCCCTCAATCCGGCGAAGATAGACGCTTATGGATATCCTCAGGTGCTCTCCTTCCTCGAGTTCACCGACGCCTTAAATCCCAAGGTCATCGCAAAGAATCGCCTCTCCATGGTGGCGTTGGCTCGTATCCGGCAGGATCTCATGTCAGGAACCAAGCTCAAGACGTCGTGGATTATCAATCCGAACGTCAACCCTTGGAAGACTCTTATCAATTACAGCGGCGTCAAGCAACGCCAACTCGACGTTCTGGCCCAGATAGCCGGCCGGACTTACGAACTCCCCTCCGTCGATCCACCATCTGAGAGAGAACGCGATCGCGAAGACTGGTCCGACTTAGAGGACGCCGAGAATGACGACGATCAAGCTGCATCTTCCAGCGCAGGCACCGGCACGCCGGCTCAAGGTGATGACGAGGACGCCGACGAGGATGACGAAGACGGAGAAGACAAAGGTGACGAAGTCGACGACGAAGAGGACAACGGCGGCGACGAGAACGACTCTCAGAACGTCCACGTCTTGTGATTCAAGGCGTTCCGCCCTTCTCGTCAAGTCTTATGCCCAAGCTATCCCTTAACTCTATTCCAATCTCAGCGTTCTTTTCCGTTTCACATCCAGGCTCCTTAATCACTCTCAGGCTCCCCTTTCATCATGTTGTGTTCTGGCACGCCGACACGCGCCTCGTTCCCCTTGATTTCATCCGTCCTTATTACGTCACTGTTCCAATGAGGCAAGTCCCACCTCGTTCCAAAATCGTCACTTCGAAGG